AAAGTTCACTTAGTCTGCTATTTTGATTCTGCCATCTTTGTTGTGTCGTCACGAGTAGTCCAGTTAGGGAACAGAGAACACCAGCCAATCAGAAGACAAGATAACCAATACTCCTAAATATTTCCAGCCTGTTCCTTTTAATTGAAACTCTATTAATTTTACCCTATTACATGAAATTTTGGTGACATTTTAAAATAATTCTTAGAAAGTACTAAAGACCATGCCAGAAGAGCAAACTAATACCTAAATTAAATATATCTTTAAAAAACCTACTGAGACTTACTTTTTGGTGAAGACCTTTTTAGCTTGTTCCAGGTCAGCTCCACAGGTAACTAAGTTGTTTTGACCACTGAACCCAACTGAAAAATTAAAAAAATTTCATCAAAGATAACATTAGGTCTGACATCAGGAAAACAGAAAGAATACTACTACTAATAATATTAACAGTAAATGGACAGATTATTACCTCTACCCCATCTTTGCCAGACATAATACTTCTTTGCTCTGTTGTCCTCCAGCAATTGAATCAAATAGTATTTGTTATTGTTATTCATCACATTTGTCTGCAGCAAAAGGAAATTACCACTGTGAGATAAATATATTTTAATTAGAGCAGCTGGTACATTTTTGGCAGTCAGTGGCACCCAATAATGTGACTACTTGGAGCATCCTTTCTGTTAAATGTTTGAAACAAACTTCAACAAACTTCTTTGCAGAGTGCATCCATTCAACTTTTTGTTCTACCCCTCCCCTCCCTTCTTTTCCACCATTTTTTTGAAGGTTGCCTGGACAACCCTGTGTGGGGGCTCAAGGCTGGGATGCATGGGTGGCTAGCCAAGCTAGTGGATCTATCAAGGGTCGAGGCCACTGACATCCCAGGCCCAAGCATTCATCTTCCAAACACTGAGATGCAATCGTTGAGGAAAATCTGATTTAAAACAGCAGTCACTTCATTTTTATTGATCGCCAGCAAGCTTTGCCCAAGCAAGCAACACCAAGACAGTGGCCTCTGCGCATTTTCCTGGATTTCATGGGCATGTTCTTGGGCTCCCTACTATAATCTTTTATAGTAAAACCATGATAACCTAATAAACAGAATTACAATCTACCTGATTAAGCATCACATCCCAGATGTCATCACCTTCTGTAAAAACATGAGTGTTGTCTTTGATGGAACAGTGACTGTCAACAGGTGCCTTGCCACTAAATACTACGGACTTCACTTCACCTGCAAAAGTCAAACCAATCAAATTTATAATGTCAGTGAGAGCATTAGCATACAATGTATCTTTAGCTGCAGTAAAACTTGGTTATAAAACTGCACCAGGAATTAGTATTACCTTTTTCAGTCTTAACTTCCGTATCAGCCTCTTCCTTTTTCACTTTCTTACGTTCTTTCTTAACTACTACATCTGTCTTGGCCGTCTTGGGAGATGCTGGTACTTGATTTGAAGAAGCTAGAAGGCAAAGGGTAAGATTCCAGTATTATTTAGTTTGACTTTGTGCCTGTCAATTCTAAGGAGTTGTCAGACCTGCCCATAAGAAGAATTTTAATATTGGTCAAAACTGTATGGCTACAAAGTCTATCAAAAATATTCTCTGCACAGCAGCATTGGGGTTTTTGCAAAAACCCTTCAAAAAACCAAATTCAAATTCCAAGATGACTGGCCACTGGCTAGCCAGATTTAAATTTTGGGAGCTAACCTTGATAAGAAAATATCATCAAGGTGCATGCACCTTGACAACTATGAACTCATTTTAGACAACAATTTAACCCAATTTTTCAGATTTCAGTCAAATTAGAAGCCTCACCACTAACCATCTGGATGGAATACTATCCCCTGCTGCATCATTATTGGATTGAAATTGGACCAGTTTTTTTTTTTAAATAGAGCGATTCCTACTGGAGTTGTCTGGCAAATTTTAAAATTTTCTGATTCACCATGCGATTTTTAGACCAAATCATGAGACTGTGAGTTGACTGCCCAGGGTCAAACCGAATGAGTTGGAAGGTCTGGGCAAGTGTAGCATTTTTGCTGGTTTTGGGAAAACGTTAAATGAAACAAACATCACTGTTTTGGTCCCTTGGTTATTGTAAAATTCTACTTTGTAATGATGTATTTCTTAATTACCTACAAGGTTTGCAGTACACGCAAGTTTTATTTAAAGATCTTGATCTTTTAGGAAAAATTGTCATTTTCAAATCTGCTGGTGTCCTGGGCAGGTGGTGAAAGGGTTGGTGTGTCATACTGTAATCTTCAAACATTTATTTATTTATTTAGACACTTATTTTATTTACTTAAATAATCTCAACTAATCAAACTAAGGCCAAGTAACAAAATGGTACATCACAAGACAAAGACACAGCAGTTCCTGTGCTACTAAAACTACATATGTCACAGAAAACTGCAACAATGAGATAATGCAAATTTTGTCTAAAAAGACTGCTTCATGCATCATTGACAGTGGCCAGCACAAGAATTACCCAGGCAGTTGACTACATATACATAATCAAAGAAAATGGACAAAACTCACTTGAACATACATCACTAGCTTTGACCCTGTGTATATTCTTGGAGCTCCTTCCAGTTTTTGTTGTTTGGACTTTCTTTGCTAAATTCACTACAAGTTCTTTTTTGTCTTCTATCAGCTTGACACTTGTCAGCCCAAACATATGTGCTGCCTCTAACAGATAGACAGAAGGCTTTGAATATACTGTCCAGTTACCCTTGGCATCTTCCCACTCCCAGGTATCTGGAAAAAAAGAGCTAGAGTTATCAATGTTTTATCCCAATACCAAAAGCTGAGGGAACTTAAAAGGTTGTTGACTGCAATGCTTGCAGCTGCATGTGCACTTATTATATAAGCTAGAGCCTTCATGGAAAAAAATTTAAGTGAAAAGCTAGCGTGTAAAAGCAGACAAAATTTTGCCACACCACCACTGGTTTCCCTGTGAAATAACATCCAAAGAACACAATGCTGAAATTCCATACTGATGATGTGTCACTACCTTGACGGGGTGATGGTGCATCATTAGCAGGGAAATTCTTTGCTCGTTCCTCCGACATTATTCTGCAGGGAAACCAGTGGTGGCTTTGCAAAAAGTCGGCTGTTTTATCAGGCTAGTGCAAAGCATTTTTAATCCTAATCCAGCCAACAGGAACATTATTTATATTAGTGAACCATATTGACCAACAAAATTGAGGGAAAAGATCAATCGTGCCTTTGGCACAAACATTCTGTTGAAAAGATTTTTCCCACAGGTATTGTGATTTTAAGCAAAGCTCAGTACAAAACTATTATCTGGGGGTGTAATGCTTCCCATTATTCAAACAAATCCAAAGAATGTTCAAGGAACACTAACATCATAACAAATCTTGGTAACTCTGTCCATTTAACAGAGGGATTGGTTGTTTAGCATTTTTACACTGGCAAACCGGTCAGTCCACAGGTTTGGACAAATGATACACAAAAGCCGCAAAGGCCTGAAACTGGTATCAAAGATGGCTTTGAAGAAATGGAACACGAATTTCTGCTTGGAATATTCCATCTGGAAAAACAGGACTAACTTTTCAGGTGTTCTTTTGCTCAAGAAATTTTCCACTGGAATGACCTAAAAAAGTTGCGTTCCATTTTCTTTCCAACCAGATTTTCCAGAAACTTTTTGTACATGGTATACAACCATTGTTACATTAATAAAAACCTACATTCATCTGGATGTGAGCTTCCAACTGTTGAAACACATCTGATTCTTTTCTCCCATCCACTTTTTTTGTTCCTTTGCACCATACGCTCAAATATCACTGACAATTCAGACTTTCCATCTGTGATATCAACTTGTGTCTTTCCATCTTTAAAAGCATCAGTGATAATCTTAACATGCTCATTAGGATATCTAGTCCATGTGAATTTATCAGCTTCTCTTTCCCACGTTAGAGAAGTAAGATTGGGTGAGCTTGAGCTCGAAGCTGCAGCGAGAACAGTTCCATTTGTTTCAACCTTCACCTTTTTTGATTGAGTAGCATCTGTTGTATCTTTATTGTCAGAACTTGCTAAAAATGAGAAAAAAAATTTTTAACATAACAGCTTCATAATATGAAACACTTCAACAGCTTTCTTTGAGATCAGCTATGCTCACACTTGCACAATCTTTGTCTGGAGAAAGCCATAATTCAACTGGGAAAATTTTTACCAAAAACCAGCGGAGGTAGGTTCATCGCAGGTTTCAATATATTTGCCTCGCAGCAGTTCAAAGAACTCAAAAAGGTCACCCTATTGATTACATGTAACTTCAGTCTGAGGGCAACATGTGTCACATGTAGGAAGCAAAATGAGCCACTTTCATAATTATAATTTCTTAATAAAAACTAAGTTTTGATATCGATTTTCAGTTTCTATCATTACGAACATTCACAAGTCCTATTTAGCTAGGGAAACTTTCCTGACCAGAATCGAAGTGTGACAACATCGTAACTGTCAAAAATTGCAAGCAGAGCAAAACAGTTGGCGGGGGAATTAGGATTAAAAATCTTAATCATCTTAGCAACCAATAAGGACCCAATTTCGTGATTTCAATGTCAACCAGTAAAACCGCCAGCAATTCTTGAACACTTCATACCGCTTTTTAATTCTATTCAGGAGACAAAAAAAACTATTAAAGCTTACAAAGGATAGACGATTCAAGAAACAAATCCCTCATACAAAACTATCGTTTACACACACAGCACAGCATACACGTCCATCCTTCATTGACAGGAACCTGAAACATTAATGTGGCCAATATTTCGTTTTTTAATGAGTACTCACATGGTGCCTTTCGCCGTCTACTCTGCCTTTGAGACATCTCAGTTTCACGTCCAAGATGGCGGATCTCACAAGACGTGCGTCAACAACTCCAAAATTTGCGCCAAAGCCTGGGGAAAATGGCGCCAAAATAGAATCATTCCCAGTCTTTTGCTTCGAAAGATTGGATCGGATTGCTGGAGGACTGCTTAGACTGGTTGAAATTTTGGATTTCATTCTTTTTTAGCGGCGTTAACAATTACGCGAAATATAGAAAAGAAGATGACTTCCCAATTTCCTTTAAAAATCTCCGGGGGCCAGTTGCAGGAAATAAACTTCAGCGTTGCGCCTGACTCATGCCAGTCTGACACTCTTTACTTCATCACCAGACAAGGTTTTATCCAACAAACCTGAATTAAACCCTTTCAAATCATACCAGACGTTCACTTAGCCTACGCAAAGAAACGACATAATTTCAAAAGCAAAAATCTAAAGCTCATGAGCCATAAAGCAAAGTGTAAAGTTCTACCATGAAAACATCAAACCAATCTCGATAAGTAACCTCATGTACATTAATTTTTCATTAAGTTGGACACTTTTGTAAGGTTCTTTTTATTGTTGCATCCCGGGTGTTGCATTCACTTATTTACTCTATTTAATTATTTTTCTTTGAATCTCTCTCTATCAGATTTATTTCATAGCCAAGGATAGTTTGAGCCTGGCCCTCACTGGCAACGCAAGGTTGACCATAAGCATCATCAGTGAGCATAAGGAGCTTATGCGCTAGTCAGGACGGGCCTTGACTTACGCATAAACAAAAGAATATCAAAACCTTGTCGTCTTTTAAAACTTATGTTTATGTCACGGCCATCCTTACTAGTGCATAAGGTTCTTATGCTCAAAGTTATGCTTGCATATGCTGTGCTTATACTTATATATGCTTGTACTTAGTCGCCAATTAGGGCCGGGATAAGTGGCCTCACGAAGATCCAGCTTTTCCGTGCTCAATTCCCAAATGTGGAGGATTCCAAGACTGTGGCCAACAACAACTGTAGAAGGGAGCACTGACCTAACTAGCACGGGTAAAGGGCAGAATGGGGGGGGGGGCTAGTAGGTAATGCTACATGTATGTGTGCAGACAGAATGTTGTCAACTTCATTTCCAGGGCTTTTTCCTCCTAAAACACTGGAAATGCCTTGCAAACATAGCCTGCATTGCAGCTGGGCTTGTCACTCATAGATTTAGACTGTCTGCGACGCAGGCTATGCATACATGACTAAAATGTTGGTTTATGAGTAAAGTGAAGTGAGTACAGGTAAAATGGAGTGGGGGTTAGTCGGCAGGTAAGTTCTCCATTTTGAGTGCAAGTGAAACAAGCTACAAGAAAATGCAAGAGAGTGGAGGAAAGAAGGAATGGTCCCCTCACACTTGAATCTCCTTTCACGTGCTGCAGATGCCTGTCTTCTCGTGATACCCTCAAAATGGAGAGCTTGCTCACAGGCTAGGTGTGGGTTCAGTTTAAAATGTGGAGCGCATCATGAGTGCAGTGGGGATGCTGTAAATAAAACTGAATGGGACATGGGTGATGTTGAGTGGCTTGGTGAACTTCATTCGCTGCCCAGCATACAACCAAAGTCTGCTCTAGAAGTGTGGGCTTCAATCACTTTTTGCAGGTGGGGAATGGAGATGGAGAGAGATTCTTCTTCCCCTCCCTTCCCCACTCTCCTCCCCATCAGTCAAGACATGGCCGGCAGGCTATAAGACAACTTGGAATTCGATTCTTGACTGCTGGATGTTCAGGCATATGAGAATGCCAAACCAACTCACCTATAAAGGAAAGAAAACAAGATGTACACATCAACTAAAAGTCAGGCTTTATCACATTGAGATTGAAAATTGGCAATGCTTTAAGTGGATTTTGCTAACATTTTGGTCATTAAGGTGCAAATTTATCAAGAAAAGACATTGCAGTTACCACAAATTGAATTCAAAAGTTAAAATGTGCTGAGATCACCTGGCAGCTTATGCAATTTTTTTATCTTTGTATGCAAAGTTTGAGGGCTCATCTCTCATTAATAAATGCAAATCAAATTACCAGGTAATAAAAGCACTAACTGCTAGATCACAAGTCTAGGGATCTACCCCTGAGTGAGACTCTGCAATCAAATCTAAAGAGATGCTCATCATATCTTTCAGGGGGCAACTTGTTGTACCGCTTATGGCGCTAAAATCTAACTTTTTCTGGTTTGCTGCTGCTCAGAATTAAAGCTACACAATAATTTATTTGGAATAATATCACAGTACCTTTAGTTACCAAAGTCTGTCTTCTACAACCTACAAAATAAAGAAAAAAATGATGGGAAACCATGTTTGAAAAAAATGGGTATTAGGGGATCCGGACAAAAATGATTTTTTATTTTTTATTTTCTTTTTTCAAAATAAAGAAGGGCTAAGTGCATACAGAGTAACCATGGCAAAAGACTCTTAGGACTGTTTTTTATTCATTTATTTATTTCCTTTTATTTAAATCAGCTGAAGTTTTTGCATGTGGCCTTTGATTGAATGGAAAAACATTTCCCCCTCTTTTTTTGGGCCAGTTTCTGCCTCTTATCCACAAAAACTGTATGAAAAAATTTTTTTTTTAGAAACACACACTTTGTAATGATTGAGTAATGTTATTAAAAATTAATAAATTATATTTGATGACTGAGGGCTACTCAAATACTTACAAAACTGACTGTTTACAAGCAGGAATTCTATTGACAAAAAAGGGGTGGTCTGTTTTTTTCAACACAGTTTGACATGAAATAAAGATAACACTATTTCGATCAGTTTATTTAGAGAAAGTGGCATAATTTGGTTGTTTTCCAAAAAAGTGGAGACAAAAATTTATTTTAGTAGTGTGCTGTTGGGAAAACAGTACAATTTGCAGCATTGACGCAAGCATAACCACAAAGTTTCAAGTTAAGATGATTTAAAGTGAGGAAAGTGAAAAACTGTGTTTAATGTTAGAATGGTAATCTCCCAGCTAAATGCCTCCAGGGAAAATCATTCCATTTAAATTGCTGTATTCCTTCAGGCAGACAGTTCTGTTAAAATGAGATATGGCAATTCTGCCAATCTACCAGCAATTTTGAGCTCAGTTATTCATGTTTTTCTTAGTGTATTTTCTCAAAAAAATTTCTTACTACTTTTTTCTTTTTTTTTCTTCATAGTATTATATTGATGTTAATACTTGGTGTTCTTAAATGTGATGAGGCTGCAGAGTGCCTTATTCACTAGAGACACTGTCTAGTAATTCAACTTACAAACACTTACAGCTCCACTGCAGATTAATGCATAATGATACAGCAAAAAATCTCTAAAAAAAGTCAAATTCAGGGATAGTGATTGTAATGGCAGGGGTACAGAGAAGTTCATTGTTTCAGTCTGAAATGAAAAATTCTCCCCGTGCCCATGAGATCAGTAATACCTCCAATTAAGATTCTTGAATGACGTAAATAATCTTTAATCCAGTGTGACTGATGTCACTCAGTATTACGGCCATTCCTGCAGGGATAACTATAAAATATTCAAATCATCAATAACAATGCTGTCACATGCGCTTTAATAAAACTTAAAAGGAAAAAAAAGTGGAATCTCAACATAACAAAGAGACAAGCCATCTGTTTTAACAAGGGTACATGTTAGAGTCTTTATCAGGGTCCCATTCCATACATTTCGTGTAACCCTTTAAGCCCAAATATCTACATACAAATTCTCCAGACTGATCTCCATACAATCCTTAAAAAATTACTTGAGAGAATTTGATAAAAGATCAAAGCTTGATCTCTATGTAATCATTTTATTAAATCTCATAGACTTTACACTTGACAATCTATGGATATCATTAGGAGAAAATTGATGTTGGTCACTATTGGCACTTAAAGGGTTAACTACGGTAGAGTGTCATTCTTCATACCGGGGTGTTCATTATACAGCAACATAGCAGTGCTGATCAAAATACTTTTTGAATTTACCCACTTTTCTTTAAAATATCATAAAAATTGAATTCATTCCAATACATGCAAGAGGGGGCTTGTATCCAGGGAGGGGAAAGCTTATAACCGAAAGCGTTTTTTTGTGTACACGTTGATGGGCCTATAACTGGGAGCAACATAAGCAAAAGTTTACAGTATACAGGATACTACATGGCCAAGTGGAGATGTTACAGTTAATTTTTTCAGTTAACTTTTTGTTTTTCCTTTGTTTAAAATTCATAAGCATACATTACCATACCCAAAAACAATAGAAAAATAAAAATTAACTGCAACAGAGATACAAAATTTCTCTTCATGTGTTGAAAAATATTTCATATGTGAGAGCAGCAAATGAGTGAAAGGAGAAGCTAAAGGAGAAGGCACAGGACAAGTATGAAAATCTAATGCAGCAAACATCTCCAGTTTCAAAGTATAAAAAAGTATTTTTTCCCTTTGTCACCCTTAGTTTAAATATTAGTATTAGACTTATGTGGGAAACACTTATCAACTACTTTATTTTTCTTAAACCTACATGTAAATAATGTAAATGGTAAGCAACAAGGCGTATTTACAAAGTTGATCAATGAGCACCGTGTACTTAAATTACAAGTTAGAAACAGATAAAGACACAGGAATCAACTAATTTGTAGAGTTCAACACAGCATAACTTTGTGTTAAATAGGTTACCATACCTTGAGACAAAGGATCCACAGAAAATCAAGAAAAATTTGGACCACAGCATTAATAAACATTTTAGTTCAAGATGATGCACATCCATTATTTTAGACCTAACTCTAATTAATCTTGACTAACATTGATGCCCACCTTAGTTACTCTTACACTGTATTCTTTCATTTCTTGCTTCAGAAAAATATGAAAGGCTTCCAGTTAATCAAGCCTGAGCTTCGAAAGATAGGCTAGCCATGTTTCTAGAGTACGAGTTATTTTTTATCATCACCTAATCCAGTTGAAGTTGAAGTTTAACGATAAGAAATAAACAGTTGTTCATCAAATTAACAAAAACTTTCTTCTGGCCATGCTGCTACTTAAGTTGTAAATGCATCCACACAAACATATTTAGTTAATGGCTATCCACACAAGAACAATATCTGAGAGTATGTAGACTTAACCTACACTAGCAGCAAAAATTAATCATATCATTGCATTAAATAGTGTAATAATAATAATAACAATTAATTTATTAATATTACCATGTTGTAAGAAATTGAAATACCAAAATAATGATAAATTATCTTAATAATAAAAAAGTCACCATTAAACTTTAACCAAAATCACTTAAAACCTTTAAGGACAAGCAACAAAGAATGTAAGAGACCAACTTGGAGGGTAGGCAAACCAGATTGCTACAAGTTTGCAAATCAGTGTGCATTTTAAATTAGAAATCTTATGGAATGTTATCTACAGCAGTAACAAAAAAGTTTTTTCACCTAAGTGAAGACATTGAGTATACAAAATTCCAAAACTCAGAGTAAAATTAAGAAAACAAAACGAATATTTCATCACCAAGTCAAAGAAGCCATTGCTATGAAACAAAGGAAATCCTGACTCCCTAAATACAGATGAGGGACTGAACCTACCAGCAATTTACAATTCTCTGTTTGGGATTCGTTAATTTTCTGTTATGTAACCTGCCACTCTCTACAACGCTGATGAAGTCCAGGTGATTCAGACAAAATATTTGTTTTTGCTTTCTTAATTTTTGCTCTGAGTTTTGGAATTTTCTATACTAAAATTATCTACAGCAGGTCTACAGATATAACACAGCCAAGTAGGCACAGTTCATACCACCGTCCTTCAGTCCAGATCCTACTAAACTACAGTTTATGGTTTATGAACAAAGAATGAAAGATTCAAGATTGCAAATTCAAAGTCTTATGATGTTATGAACAGCGTTCGCCGGATCAAACCTTTTCTGTGATGAATGGATGTGTAAGAGCTTGATTAAGTGAGATCCTCTTGGCTGGATCCAACATGAGACACTTGTCTAGCAGATCCTTCAGCTGCATAACTTTGCGTTTGTGTTCCTCGTTCAGCTTTTTGTAGCCCAACAAAGATTCCACCACTTCCTTTGTAGGATTTATTGAGCCCATTACAGTGATCTTTTCCTGGAAGAAAGAGTTTAGAACATCAATAAAAGAGTGCAGCCAACAAAGCTCTTAACCCTTTGAGCTTCAATATTCACATACAAATTCTCCATACTGATCTTCACACATTCCCTTAAAGAATTAGTTGAGAATTTGATAATAGATCAAAGCATAAGCTTTTCTCTTGATTATGAATTGATACTTTATTGTTTGGAGAAATTGATCTTGGTCAATATTTGGACTTGAAGGGTTAATATGGATGAAGGAGTTAGTTTCTACATCAGTGGAGGAGTAAAAGGGTTTAATTGCCAACTGAGTTGATACTCACAATGAATTACCATTTTTCCTTCAATATTATTACACAGTATGCCATGTTTTGCTCAGAATAATTCAGAAGGTTTAAAAAATGTTGTGCGACTGGTTTTGATGCAACTTTATCATTTGTCTTGAAGATGGGAAGGCAAAAACAGTTGCCCACATGTAGTTTTCTACCTGTTTCACCGACGCAGATCTACTCACCACATTAGAAACAAGAAAGATTCAACTGGGCCGAGTTAATTTTCACTTCTGGGATCATCAATGGGGATACATCAGTCAGCTATTGGCCAATATTTTTTACTTGTCCCCAGTAACAGTGCCAGACGTCTTTATGAAAGTTAACTCGGCCTAGTTTTTCCTTCTCATTTCTAAAGTGGCGAATTTGCACAGTGAACAGGTTATGCAACAGATGGCATAATCTGTACACTATGCAAAAACTGTACAAAAAGCATACGAGATGTACCATTGAGGTGAAATCATACTATGGTTTGATGTTCTTTTGGAACCATTATTCTAGAGAACAGGTGAACATCATAATGACTACATCCAACCACTAGAACTGCTAAAACCACTGTTTTTGTCTCACCACACAACAATATACACAGCACATCACACGTAGAAAATACTTCAAAAGTCCATTCTGAATAATAATAATGTTAGTAACCTTTTTTTCACTCATTTCTAGGACTTCATATACAGTGCATGTAGTACAGGCCTTGAGGAAAGTCCTGTCTGGTCACCTGGGAAAGGTAGATTTTCCCTTTTCATACTCACTTAAAGGGCAAGCCAAGGCAAGTCAACTTAACATGATAACGCAAAATAAAACAAGCAAGCAACTGCAGACAAATAAAAATGACGGACTAAAATTTCAGTTTTTTTTTTCAAAAAACTGTAACACGAATATCATGTATCAGCACTTTGTGTGACTTTGTTTGTCCTCAAAGAACTTACAGACTGTAAGAACCCTAATTTATTCATCCTCCAGGGGGAAAAAGGAAAAGGTCTGAGATATAATATTCCAGTCTTTGACTGGGGAGGGGTAGATTCAGTTATACGGGAGGTTGAAGAAACTGAGAGTTCACTCAATGGAGATTAAATTACTATCTGGAAAAGCAATCAATCTCACCCTCTGAGTGATCTTGTCCACTTCATGGTACAGAAAGTTGCAGTTTTCATCAAAATGGCTTTCCCGCAGTGCTCCTTTTCGGATCATTTTGTTGGGCATTTTACCTTTATAATCCATCATCAATTTCAGCATCTCATTGTTGGTTTTCCCTGAAAACATTATCTTTCCAGTATACAGCTCAAACAATGTTGTTGCCACAGACCACAAGTCTATGTTGTAGTCATATTTTGCTCCAATAACTAACAGAAAAAAAAAATAAACAAAGAAAAAACTGTCAGTATGTTAGGAACTGAAACACCCAATACTAGATCTAAGTGACACTAATAATTTGACAAAACAATGCCACTGTTGACTGAAGTATCAAAACTATTACTTCTTCAAACTGAAAAAGAGAATGGACTAAGAGAAAATTTAATCCAGCAAAGCAAAAAGAAAGCATGGATGAGCAAAATTTAAGTAACAGTGAGGTCCCCATTTTTCAAAGTTAATAAAATTTAAAACCTGAAAGGTTAACCACTTTTCTTCGGCTCACGTGCGTTGCACAAACAAGCCCTGAAACAATAACGGATTGTAGAAAATAGCCAAGATCTAAAAAGCATTCAGAACAACTTACTTATCTCTGGGGCTCTGTAGAAACGACTGACTAGGTAAGGAGTAATATCACAATCAGAAGCAAATGAGGCTGATCCAAAATCACATAGTTTTACCACCAGTTTAGATTCATTCACCTATAGAAAAGACATGAATAATAATTATTTAACAAGGAATTATTTAGGACTCAAAAATGACCTAAACAACTTCTAGATATCCCTTGCCCTAATCAAACACGGACTCCAGGTTTCATACTCTTTTGAGCTTTTCAAATTTCCACAACTTTCCATGACTTTTTCCATGACCCTTTCGTTTTCCATAACCTATGGTTTGGCTGTCACTTTCGAAAGTATTATTTTCAAAACCCTAGGGTATCTTTTGATCTAACACAGTTCAAAAGGCACAAACTCTGATGTCCATCAAAATGCATGCCATTCATGCTGTTTAATTACCCATCTCTATGTTACATTTTCCTTGCTTTGAAATCTGCAGCAACTAATCTACATTTACCAAATATTTAATTCTCCATGATTTCCCAGGACAAGCAATTAAATTACAGCACTTTCCAAGCCTGGAAAATGAAAATCTTAATTTCATGACTTTCCAGATTTCCCATGACAAGTTAAAAAAGCTGGTAAAAATGTAGCCTGTGTACATACACCCCCACCCCCCTCTGTTTCTGAGGGGGAGGGGGGCGTCTGTACACAGACTAGTAAAAATGGAATATTACACTTCGTTATTACAAACGTTTTTCCTTACCAGGATGTTGTCAGGTTTAATATCAGCATGGATGATACCTGTCTTTTTCATAAGCTTCAGAGCGAGGAACAGCTGCTGACTATACGATCGCACTGCTTTGTAATGTAAACCAACATTCTGACCATACTTTCTTAACACTTCCCTTAAGTTCATACTGAGAGATAAAAGAAACCATCAAACAAGATTCAGAGTGGTCTCTTAAGGTGATGTAACACAAGACGATTCACAACAACATTTTTTAGTGCAACATAGCATTGCAACATTGTTGTGACATTGTCTGGAATGGTCACAACATTGTTCCAACATTGCAATGCTGTGTGTGCTGTGGTGGGATCCTGGAGCATGCACATCTTGCAACACCACTGGCCAGCAAGATAAGACTTGCACTCCTTGTGTTAGGCACAGCCTTGACACTAAAGAAAACCTAAAAAGTCAAAAGTATTACTAACCTGAGTGATTCAAACACAAGACAAAGATGATTCTTGTGAAAGAAATGTCGAAACAATTGCAAGCAGTGGTATTTGTCATCTGGATCAGAGGCATTCAACTTCTTTAGAAATTCCAACTCTTTAAGGCCAGTTTTGTGCCTAAAATGGATACAAAAAAAAATCCAATAAAATATTCATTGTTTTTATATACATGCTGTGCCTCTCTCTTTACCCTTTCTGTCCTGAGAGTGACCAAAATCAATCTTCTCCTTGCAATATCAATTGACTTTCAATAGTAAAGGCTATGAGAATAGCCAAATGATCACCTAAGAGAAAATGGTTTGATCTTCACACAAATTCTCTCAACCAATTCCTTAAGAAAATGAATGGAGATCAGTCTGAAGAATTTGTGAATTGATATTGGGGCTTGAAGGGTTGAGGTCCAAACTAACATGCCTCTGAGTACAGTATACACTGCACACTGTAAAAACTATTAGTAAGGATTTAATCCACACATTGTTCACACCTATGGCTTGATAGTTCACACAAAAGAAAAACAATGGACTTGATGTAATTTGTCTACCCTGTTCCAAATAGGCCTTAAAGAGTCACAATGCCTTTATACAATGTTGGAATCTTGCTGATGCCAAAATTCAGAAAATTATCTTACATGTGAAATTTGAGAGAAAAAACATGGATATTTTTAAATTTTTCAGCAAAGTAGTATGATTTGTATTGGCCCCCATGTTGAAAAATGCTCTTGCCCTCCAACATGGCGGCCAAAACTACTTTTGCTTATATCTTGTTCAACGTTTCATAGCTAAATCACATCATCTTTTCAACATTTTCCTTGAAGTTTAAGCGCAAAATTTGTGTTCAGAGAGAGGTAATTCATAATTTTAAAAATCTCATTTTGGTCACATGACCATTTATGAACTTATTCATTTTAAGAAAATGGTACGGGTTTGAAAAACCAAATCACTATTATTTTGTTTAAGATATGACCCACTAATCGTTTTTCAAAGGCAAAATCATGCAACTTTCATTTTCATAAAAACGATGTCACATGCATCTTAGTGCAAATGGCCTATTCAGATAGTGGAGCATGGGCAAAAAATGGAATGGAGCTAAATAAAAAAGGAGGAGCGACTGGGGAGAGCAGTGAATAAAACCCATGAAAATCTTTTTCAGAGGAAGCCATTCTGGAATCTTTTACACCCTCCGATTGGTCAATTTTGACACTTTCTGTTGTAGGTAGAGTCATCTAAGCAGACAAGAAATAGTCACAGCTTTGTCTTGACAAAAGTGCAGAAGGGTTTTCCACACATATTCAGTTAGAAGTGAACAAAGAACCTTGTGCAGGAACTAAGAATTCTAGCATCAGGCATTTCACAAACCATAAAAAATGCCTTACATCATCTCATTATTCCTGATGATTTTCACAGCAACCTCTTGGTTTCCCCGGGCTTGATCTCTCGCACGTACAACATTACCAAACACTCCTGCCCCAGTGTATCCATACACACAATAACGCTTGTCGAGAACTTCACTAATGCGAATTCCTGGAAGAAAATGCACCAAAGAAATTGTTTGTATTAATTTTACATTCAACAGGGCTCCAAGCAAAAATGCCCTCTGGCTCACGTAAGTTTTTTTTGAAGAGGACACTTTGCATAGAGTCCTCCAATTATGACTAAAAAGTGAAAAAGTTAATACTACTTACGCATCAATGACAATTTAAACAAATGTCTCCCAAAATTTGGATGACAACACTTGGACAGCTTTTTCCAAGTGTAAAATTACTTTGTACCCAAACTGGAAACCGAGAAAGAATTTCATGCCCAAAATTAGTTGGGATTAAGGAGTTAAGAAAAGAAAGAATAGAAAAAGACAATCGTACTATAATATCCATCTGCATCATCCCAGTTGTCTGTTAGGTTTGGATTTTCTTTCCCTGCCTCTAACTTCAGTGCTCGTGCTGGACTCTATGAAAATAATAGCAATTTTTGCTAATTAACCCTCTGCCAAGACAGCTAAAAGTCAGAAACTAAGATCTACAGATTAGAATTTTCTGCAAGTGTTTTATTTCATAATTTAGTCATATATTTTTAAACGTGGTCCTTTTCATAAGCCTTATGGGCTTCCATGGGCTTGCTTGCCTCATCCATCTGAAAATGGTGTACAGGTATGTATTTAAATTGTGGAAAAATCATAAGAAATAAGAAATAAAACAGAATAAAAAGCGACATCTGGAAAGCTACTTAGATTTAAATTTAACTGGTAGCTTATGTAAATCTATGTACACATGAACATAAAGTTACAAAAACTTAATAAAAAGCAGTCTCCTAAACAACACTTACATTGTAATTCTCAGAAAACATGTCATCATCCGCAAACATGTCACCAACAGCCGATTTTTTCTGACTATCTGCTTGACTGTCAGAACTTGAGTCATTGTCCTTTTTACCATCCTTCAGTTCTTCCTTTGTGTGACTACTAGCTAATGCAATTTCCTTTTCCAAGTCCTCAGTAGCAAGCTTCTCCACTGTATCACTGTCCTCACTATCAGAACTCTCATCAGGAGGTGACTGCGACACAACTGAGTTGACTGTTGAAGGGGCATTTGATGCGGTACCTTGGTATTTTTGTAGTATGGCTAACCTCTGAAGCCTTCTTTTCTCAATTATTGCATCTTCGTCTTCTTCCTCTTCCTCATCCATTTGAAAGTTATATAAGTCAACACTGAAATGCAACACCAGCAAATTTTATATTAAACAGTATGCCAAATGTATTTATCAGATAGACTTTTCCCTTAAATGCAAAAAGATAATAACTTTTTTTTCTTTACTTATAATGAAATGTCCTTTGCTTTGCTCAGTAAACAAAGTTTCTTAATGCACTCTACTCAAATGGTACACTGTAATGGACCTTACTCGCATTCTACGGTTAAGAAATTGTCCCCACAAACCTTGATCTTGTTTTGTTGTGTAAATAAGATCAATCTTTAGTGCTTTCAAAAACTCTACTCCTAACAAACTTGTGCACAGTGCAAAGAAAGTCAGTTTTACGGCTTGCCATTAGGGCAAGTTGTTGCTAGTATGTACTGGCCCAAGAGTCTTTTAAGTAGCCCAAAAATGTTTTGATGAGCAGCATTGACTACAGTTCGTCTGTAATTTGAATTTCCCCAAAAACTTCAACAGGATTCGCTAGCCCGATTGCAAAATGCACTAGCTCCCGGCTATCGAACACAACTTTCTTTGCCCGCTGCTCTGTGACTTTTTTCCATATTTTCTGCAGCTGAAATAAGGATGATAATAAAAAAAACTTACTCTCCATCTGAGTCTCCTTTATGCGCTTGTCCTTCAGAGTAGCTATCCTTATACTTATCACTATTTCGCCGTCGCCGTGGTGATCTAGATCTACTGTGCCGCCTTGGAGATTTACTCCTCCTTCTTGGAGAACGACTGCGACGCCTTGGTGATCGGCTTCTCCGTCTTGGTGATTTACTCCGTCTTCTTGATCTTGAAGATGACCTTCTGTCCCTTTTTGGAGATCTACTGCTTCTTCTACCACCTTCATCTCTCCTTTGCTTTTCCTTTGAAGAAGCTCTCCTAGGTGATCGACTCCTTGCCTCTCTTGATATCTCTTTTGGTTTGTCAGAAAGCCGATCTTTTCTTGGTGATTTAGATCTTGAATGCGGCTTGGGTGACTTTGACTTTCTAGCACTCTCATTTCTGCTTGTTTCAACCTTGGATGAACCTTTCTCTTGGAGAAGTGTTTTCTCCTTTTCAATGTTAGTCTTTGAACTTGATTCATGCCTAAGTTTCACTTCAGCTCTGCTGGTTTCATGAGAGTTACTACTATGTCCCCTAGAACGATGAGAATGTTCACGCACTTTGTCTTCCCTCTGGGAATCAATGCTTGGTTTTCTGTTCCCTTTACTATCCTCCTTTCGTTCTTTATTTCTTGATGGACTTTGCTGCCTTCCTTTCTCATTTTCATCCTTGAGACTAAGCTTGCCATCAGAAATTTTATACTTCGAGTCTGACGACTTGTGTTTCCTGTCCCTGTCGCGTGCATTATCGTGTCTCGATTTTTCTTTCAGTTTATCCTTAAAATAATCCTCACTTTTACTTCCGTGGAGCTTATCATCTTCGAGTGAGTGCTGATCACTGCTTCGTGCCGCTTCCGCTAACTGTTCTTGCAGAAAAGCCTTTCTTCTTTCAAGTTCCAGAAGTTCGTCCGCAATCTTTGACTTTTTCTCCGAGGGCTCCCCGTTTTCATTCGCATCTTCCTTGTCTTTCCTCTTATGACGTTTGTGCTTGTGTTTGTGACTTTTATGCTTGTGTTTATGCTTTTTCTTCTTCTTCTTATGATCTTGTCCATAATCAGACGTTTTTTTATCGTTGGAAACATGGCGGCTGACATCTGGATTTGATACGGAGCTAAATTGGCAAAAAAAGGAACGAATTGTCGAAAATAATTCCCAAACGAACATGAAAGTGTCCATAGAAATTTTTAACCTACCTGTCGGATGATTCATCTTGGGCTTCGTCTCTTTCAGGCCCTCTTCTTTTCGCTGTACCCACACCGTCAACTGTGGCCGCCATATTGTTGTCGCTATTTGCCATGCGTTTTACAATTGCCTCGATTTGGCGTTGCAAACCACAGGCTCCCCAACATATAAGAGTAGAGTCACCCACAAGTACAATCAAGCTTTCCGGGTTGTCAAAAACGCGACGGAAAAACTAGACCTCGAATCTAAACCTCTCATTTATTCACTGGCGTACAATTTCTAGATTCATTTCCTAGGGAGCAACAGAGAATAAACTTATTGACTTTAGTGACAATGAGACTGAAATTGAAATTGAATAAGCACTAATAGCAGACTTCCCCGAAGACCGATTTTTCTTCAGCGTATTTTACAGAACCCTGCTTTGTTACATCTTCGCGTTTATTATTACCATTTATGTTTTTGTTGGAAAATAAACAAACTACACTTGCTGAAAATGTTGAAAATTTAATAAGTGCCCAGCCTCAAATAAGCGCCCACTCTCAAGGTCCAAAAATTTAATAAGCGCCCAGGGCGGTTATTAGAATAAATACGGTATCCTGAGAAAACAGCCGACATTTCGCGACTCCACCATTGGACAGTCCCTGCGAAATGAAGTTTGAGGAACGACTGCAAAATTTCCGTTCCGATGTCCGGTGTCACTACCCAGATCTAGGTAGTGGCTTCTGATTCATCTTGCCGCGAGGGAAACTTGCTTCAACCGTCCCTCAGACAACCTCAGACGTCATTTCAAGGGGAAGCCAGCAGTGGCGTCGCGACAGGTCGGATTTTTTTCTCAGGCTACTTTTATATTGATCGCACTGTAACAGGATTCGGCCAGGGATGAGATTGGGTGGGAAGACAACTAGATGCAGGTTTTCTCATCGAAGCGTGAAAACTCTCTACCATATCCAAGTCCAGAAAAATTAAAGCAAAATTTCGTCGTCGCTTCTTTGCGTCCTCCATAAAAACGTAAGCTTAGGAATGAGAAGATATAAATATCGATTGTGTAGCTATAGTTAATAATGTGCAATGGTAACGAAGCCCGTCAGGCTTCTTAGGTCTTTTAGACTTGAGCGTACATAATATTCAATAGCGTTCCTATCATTGTGAAATTACTGACCGATAGAAAGGTCCTTTTTATTTATTCAAGCACGATATGCCACTTCCCAGTTCCAAAAACTCTTACTTTCCAACACGAGGCTAAAGTGCAAATCCTTCGAGTGAAAATGAATCCATTTGCATGAGAATAAAATATCATTTTCATTGACATACAATGGTTTCGCACTTAGCCTCATTTTGAAGCAGAGGCTTGGGCAACTTCATAGGCAAACAATTTGTGCACAGTCAGGGACCGGAGCTCTGATCTCAACAAGAACTGCGGCACTAAGTCATAACCAGTCCCCCCTCCTAGCTATGGTATAGTCAAGGGGGGAAAAGTAGTAGAAGAAGAAGATGACAAAAATGACGTGTAAATTGAGTTTCAGAAAGAGGGTCAATATATTGTTTACTTTAAGACTGAACACCATAAGCTGTGCACAGTTGTTGGCTATAAACTTGGCTTTTATAGCTTTAACTATTTGGCTATATAATGTTATAAATAAAGCTTATATCTATCAGCAAATAAGCAAAAACTGTAAGTCTCTGTAAGCAATTTTTCAACTTTTATAATTTTCTATTTTTTTTAAATTTTGGTCGCTATCAAGTTCAAATCGATGTTCAGCTGTACGCTAAATATGTCCATATTTGGAAAAAAAGTGTAAAGAACTGTACTCTCATTCGGTTTCTTTTATATTTCCAGTTAACCAGTCAAAATATACCGGTAAACCTTTCTAGAGTATGCTTTGTCATAAATATGCTAGAAATGACACAAACCTATCTTTCTTAAAATACAAAATAACTGACTACTTTCAAATACCGACCTCCGGGGGTAGGGGGGAGGGGGGGTGCCGTATGTGGGCTACACAGGTATATGCTACCGTCATCAAGGGTCTGTTTTCCCAAGAATTTAAGATGATGCTACATGGGAAGATTCGCAACGACGAATTTAACCCCAACGCAAAGTTGCAACATTGTTGCAACATTGTTTCGAATAGCTCCAGCGTCGTTCCAACATTGCAACGCTTTGTTCCGCTAAAAATCGTCGTTGAAAATCGTCTGGGCCAGGGTATCATTTATCAAACAATTGATAAGTTGTATGATGAACTGGAGTTTTGTGTTTGATAGTTTGTATGGGATAGGGTAGGTTGTGATGGCTAGTTGGAAAACCAGGACAGGACTCTGGACTGGACTGGACTAAACCAATCAAGTATAAAGTGGCAAAATTCCAGCTGGCATACTCCATAGGCACTCGCCAACAAAGAATTCTTAGATATTTCCTCCCGGGTATTGAACGCACTTCACTAACTTCCAACTAGTTATAGTATAAATATGTGCCATCTTGCAGCAAGCGCTAGCTACCACAGCATTCAGCTAACAATCTACAGCTCTGTGGCTTGATCTACCGACAAGGCATGCACAATGGCGCGAAACTGAACTGGAACAAAGTTATAAGGCAGTATCACCGTCAAGCCCTGAGTTCACCTGTTTTGAAAATAAAACAAAAGAAAAATGTGAGAGGAGACACATCGAAACTACTCGGAAGAGCTTTGTTAGACGTATTAAAACTACTCCAACGATTAAGTAAAAACACCACTTCGTTATACAGTTTGAAACTCCAAGAGAGTAGGTAAATTGTAGGAAAATAATGAAAATGAAACGGGCTAGTCCAAGCTGAGACTACTGAACATGATCTATTTTTCCATGAAAAGGACATAACATAAGTCATGTAAGACGTGTCACGAGACATTTTCGGGAAGAAAATAGAGCGCAGTGCGTCGTCGGAAAAGGACAACCTCTCCAAGACACTCGCCAGACGCGTCACCTAAGAACAAGGAGAGACAGGAGACGAGATAGAGGGAGCGGTACTTTTTATGGGAAAACAGTAATAAACCAGCAGCAATCCACTGTCGACGTAGATCTGTCTGAAACCTGGCGGCAAAAAAGGCATTTATACACATTTACCTCTCCATTTACAGACTTTTCGCCATCAGGGTTCTCTCGTTTACGACGCCTAATTCCTTGTAACATGTAGTAGAGGATCATCAGAGATAAACATAGCGTTATTCCAAACCCCACACCAATGGCGATTAAATCCACACTCTTCAACTTTTTGTCTCCATTTCCTGCGAGTTCATTTAACAAAAAAGAAAGCATGTATAAACCTTTCCTTTTTTCGTTTTTTTTTTTATATATATCAGATTAACGAATGAGCAAGTATAATACAACTTTATGCTGTTTTTATCCTTCTTTCGTCGTATATTTAACAATAGGGACTTTAAGATCCAACGACGCGACGGCGACAAGGACGTTGGGTGTAAAGTGAATTTGCGTTCTTTCAGTCTTTATAGCGATTATTCCTACCCACTTACTTTGTCAATTGTAGGCGAACCCTCCTGAAGCTGAATTTCAAGGGACCAAAGTCAAGCTCAGAAAGAGAAATAAAATTTCGTCGTTGCTTGTTTACTTCCTCCATAAAACCCGAAATTACACATTTTCACGTCGTAGTCCTGCAAAAACGGGAAAGAAATGTACAAAAAAGTGTGATGCACGTGTGAAGTTGTTGTTTTGCTAATTAAACCAATTGTTTTTTTGACGTTCTCGTTGTCGTCCGCGTCGTTGGATCTTAAAGTCCCTAATTATTCCTCGAGTCCGAATGGGCTCTGAGTCAATAGCCCACGAGGCCGAAGGCTGAATGACTCAGAGGCCGTGAGGGCGAGAGGAATAATTATTTTAGTAAAATCCAACTATTTGGTCAAAAATATCGAGAATAAAAAAATTAACTAGTTAAAGCTAGACTTAAATCCTTTTTTGCCGCCAAAAAGCCCGCGCTTTTCGCTACTAGTGGGCTATAACATATAGCCTGGTAGTAGCTCAACCAATCAGAACGCAGCATTGATAATAGACCACTAGTTGGATTTTACTAATATCGATTAGTAACATGGATTACCATCTTAACTGACCTTTCTCGCCTCTCTCTATGAGAAAAGTTTTCCGCGTTTCTTTGCCATCGCTGGACACAACACAAGTGTACTTTCCCCAGCGTTCATCACCGTTGACCGCAATAATCAGGTGACTGTTGATTTGTGTACCATTGTTCCAGGATATGATGACTATGCCTAAACTTTCATCCGTTAATTCTTTTCCGTCTCTTTCCCATTTAACCGAAGGCAAACGGTTACCATTCGCTGAACACGTGAGGTGGGCTATATCATCATAAATTGTCTTTACTGTAGTTTTCTCTGAACCTATATTATTTGAAAAAGTAGCAAAATGAAGGTGGAGTCAGCGGAAAGAAAAGTATCACATCTGGAAAAGTGTAGTATAACGGAACTAATCTCGTACCCAGATCTCACTCTGTTTTACACTGAAAAGTGAGATCTCCCTTTCCCTTGGCCGTGGGAGATCTAGGTACGAGATTATAACGGAACAGACAGAAATAGCTACTTTGCCGGCACGGACGAGAGGACTGGGTCGGCTAGGAGGAATTGTGGGCCGCTTTCTCATGAGATATGCTTAGTTGCAAATTTGAATCAGTCTAGGTCAGCATTCATTCCTAACTTTTATTTTATTTGCCAATTTTGTTATTTTTTTCTGTAAGCATTTGGCAGTCGTCGTTTTTTGCGGACCTCTGCTCCCGAGTTGTCGGCACCGCAGCTGATCAGTCAGCAGGTGCCGGGGTATACGTTTCCTTTTTCCACAAAGCGGTTTTGGGTTTTCGTATCCGGCGGTGTCGTACTTAGCTTTTTTAAGAGTTTTTTTTTCCGTCATAGGGTGTTTTGTAACTAAGTGCGGTCTTGTAATCTTACGGTAATTTTGCAATAAACCGGCTTTGAGGTCCTTTCTGACCTACAGGCACCTGTTTCTACTCTTGTATGGGTGTCTTTCTGGGTAGTGAAGGCAATATGAATTCAGTTATACACGCCAAAAAAACTCGCCAAATTATATTGAGTAAGAACTTTTATAATAATGACGGTATCCAAATCTTGCTGTTTTAACAAAGACCAATTAAGTGTAATAACAAAAAAGCAAGTAAAAAAGCGATTTGAGTATTCCCGTAAGAAAGCAATAGGTATGTCACGATGGTGAAGCCTTTTTACACTGCGAGCAGCATCTCTTTTTCTTTAGATTTAGTGAGTGAGTCCATCTCGCGCCTTCAGTCCCGCGCGTGGTCATTTTCGTGTATCGCGCGTTTCCTTCGACGGACTAAGAAAAAAGAGAGACTGCTCGTAGTCAGCCTTTCAGTTTCCAAATCAATTTCTTCTCCATGGTCGTTTTGTCCAAAAAAACTTAGGCTCAGTTCGTAATAAAACGATCGAAACAATGATCGATCAGGTTTTAATTTTGTTGTTGTTGTTGTTTTTTTTTTTGCCGTAAAATGTGCCTTGTCCGGGCCAAAGGGCAAATAGGATCGCCGAAGTAATTTAACAATTAAGTTGTCCGCGCACAAAAGACGTTCTATGTGGCATGCTCGGGGTCACTCAGGGGTCGTTACGTCACAAAAGTCAGAAAAAAGGAGAAATCGAACCAGACTGACTTGAAAGCATTTTCTCGCCAGTCTTACCCATCCTAAAACCTTCAGTTGACAGCATGTCGATGCTCCCAGCGCTACAGTACACCGGATAGGTTGATTTGTAGACGTCAACTTCAAACGATTTTGGCATCAAACGAGTTATGACAGTTATGTAGAGAACGCACGGTTTTTGATTAAGTAATACCAGATGAGCAATTAATTAAGTTTTGAGTCTTTCGTGGATTTAGTCTGCGGAATGACGGCTTTGTGAAGGTTATAAGAGATGTTTAATTTGACGATGTTTATGTCCTCTATTCTTTTTTTAGAATTTTTGTTCTAATTAAAGTTTTTTTTGGCTTTAATAAGATGACCCGCTTAATACGGACACCTCGTTAATGCGGATACTTTCCCGAGGGCGGGGGGTACTGCCTTATATGGGCTATATAGGTATGTGCCGCTGTGAAGGGTATGGTTTTCAGGCAGTTTAGTCTAGGATATAGATAGGGTATATAAATCAGAGCGTTTGGGTCTAGAATAGTGTATCATTTTTCAGGAAACTGATCATTGGTTTTTTAAACCAAAAACAGCTACAAAGGATATTGGTTTTTGGAGTTTACTCAGTATTTTAACAAAATTCAGCTATTTTAAAGGGTTCCAGAGTCCCAGAGGCACATCCCCACCCAGAAATTCCTAAAGTACCCCTCCGCGATACTTTCCATGGCCCCTTCAGTGTACAGTCAACTCTCTGAAAGACAGACACCTTTGTCCGTCTTATAAAGAGTCAAATAAAGGGAATAAACAAAGGCAGGGACCAACACTAGGTGTCCATTTTACAGAGGTGTCCGTCTTATAGAGGTGTCCGTTAAGAGAGAGTCGACTGTAGTTACGTAATAACGGGGTTTGCCTGTACCAACAAGGCTTTCACTAGTTGCGGCTTTCGAGCAAGATTGTAAAATATTGCTTGGGCTGCCGAAAATGCTTCCCCTCCGTTTGACACCGCTTGTGTTTCGTATATCCCCTATAGCGCGGCGATCTAGAAAGTCTGTTTTGTGTGTGGTCAAAGCTTTCGTCTCGTATCGCCTCGGCGAATGCTTGAAACGTGCCGTAATGTAAACCCAGATTACTTTACCTTGCTATTATTTACCAAGTGTGTGAATCCTATTTACTCTGGTATGCGTAACACAACTAGTGTTTCACCTTTTAATTTCGCAATGTCTGCTTTGATTTGACAGCGCGTACCTCAGAACTACAGTCTTTCATGAAAAAAGAGAGAGTTCACTATTTCGTCAATGCAACTAGGCCTCCGACTCATATTTCGAGAAACAAGACGGCTACCGTGACCAAATTGTTAGGAGAGAAAAATACTTTGCTCAGAGAAAAGAGGCCTGTTATCATGAAAGAACAAGACTGGCTTTATGACAAAAAAAAACCTTGCGTTGGTTAGCAGCGAAGTACAAGACATGACCAAATTGTTAGGAGGAAAACGGAAGCTTTCCTCTCTCACTATACTGAAGCAACATATGCCTAATCTGACAGGGCATAATTTAGAGCAACGCATGCAGCCTCTTACGAAAAAGTTTGAGATCACGGTTTCGTTGACTTGAATTATCACTGTATCACCTGAGCTTCCGTTAGTATTTAGCGCTGAACAAGAGGGTAATAGAGATTAAATTGATTGGGGGACTAAAATTCCTGCCCACTGAGATAGACCTAAAGTGTAGCTTCTCCTCTGAAGAAATCTAGCAAGAGTTTTTGTGTGTGGTCAAAGATTGTTCAGTTTTGCTTCGCCTTGGTTAATACTATGAGCCATGATGCCAGAGGTCAAATCTGCTCTAGCACGTCTGACGTTTTTATATGAATAAATACATACCAAATCCTGTATAATTCTTCAAACTTTGGACTAAACAAATTAAACGAATTAACCTACCTTGGTTGAAGCCTGAAATGGGGGAAAGAGCATTGAGAACCAACGCTGCAAAGAAAAACTTGGCTTCCATGATATGAGCAAACCCGAAACGTGATGCAGTTTGGACAGTTTGGAACTGACAGAAATACCCGGAAGCAGTTTTGGGCAAAAACCTCAAATATTTTGATTAAAATATTTCCGTTTGAATGGCCAAGGTCGTGATAACCTCGTGTACTGTCTATTTATTTTACATTATAATTTACTGTACTTCAAATGGTGTGCATGTGATAAGTTCCTTGACTAGTCCCTAGGTCTCACGCATGGTCGATGCGTTTCGGGTCACTTCGGGTCCGTTCGTCTCTGCTGAAATGCATTGAACGTGAAGGCCTCCGGGAAGACGCATTACTATATAGGGACCAGGCACGACGCATGGGTTGTCTGCAGCTCAAAAGTCTCCAACGTTTGAGAACATTCTTTTTCTCGTCGTGAATCCCTCGTAAAGGGGATCACTTCGGCCATTACCGAAAATTCTCTATCAAGCTCCACGGGGGCTCTTTTATTTCAAACAGTTTGACGGTGATGAAAGACAAATCCAAACTTCTAGCACGTGAATTAATTATGCCGAATCAGCCCACTTTCCTTGTTGTCCTTGATCAGTCTATCATTTAGGCATAAAAGAAGGAAGGGGGAGGGGGGGGGAGCTTTTTAACTTTCTTCCGATTAAAAAAGGGGAGGGGGGTAATCTTGTACCCAGATCTCTTGTCGGCGACAAGAGACCTGGTTACGATATTAAGGGAGGTCTTATTAGAGATGATGGCTCTTGAAGGTTTATGGTAATTATGAAGCTTTTTTAAGGCTCCTCTCTGTTTTCCCACGGCAAATGGCGACGAGGAGATCCAAAAAATGCTTTTGTCACCTGCAGTCGCCAGCCATATTGGAAAATGAGAAGACTCCTTTAGCAAGGATGAATTGAAATTTTTGGCATGGTATTTGCAAAGCTTTTATTAGCTTCAGTCTCTAAAAGATGTTTATTCTTCACACAGTTTAAAATGATATAAAAAATATGGTAAACCTAGAACTGTGTTAACTTTAAAACTGTTGGAATCCTTTCATACAGATTATTTTTATATAACTTTACTATATATTACGTAAGCAGCAGAACTCTCCTCGTTCTAAAAAAATAATCCTTTTTACTGAGTAGAAGGCGTAGAAGACGTTTTTTCTTGCCAAGCGAGCGAGCTGATACCTTTTTGGCCATAATTTGAGTCCGTGTTGGTTTTCATGAGTTGTAAATGTAGATAGTTATTACAAATACATGTAGTTAGAATTTCGTATGAGAATGGCCTACCAAGAAGTCGCCTGCTCTGCAGACAAAGTTAATAATGGTAATAGGACAGAGTGGAGTTGTCTGTAATCGTACGCGAGGCCTGTACGGAGGAGAGGGCCCCTGTAAGCTCCTGTGTTCGCGCCAAATAAACTTTGAGCCAATCAGAGCTGAGTAGGTTCTTAGCAGGGGCAGATGAGGTCGGTGAAATCTATATTTAGATAAAACGCGCAAGATTGTGCCTAGTGGTTTAAAAATTATATATTCTTAGTGTGCTTCCGTGCACTCGTTAATTTTTCGTGACAAAAGTGTCCCACATTCCATAGAATTGACTAATCTCAAACTGTCGTTACATTCTTTTTTGGCTTTCTAACACCATTCCTGCCTTCCTTGGGCGGTGATTGGCTTTCTTCAATTAAGGCGCCATTTACCTGGGGAAAACGAGCAGACACAAAATTAAGCCAGCTAACATGATTAGTCTGATTACGTTTCGTTTCGCGACGTTACTTGACCAAAGTTTAATTGGGGGAAAATAAAGAGCAAGTGGCTTCTTTAACTTTCCTTTTTTGGTTAGTTGTTGCAAGTTGGAGCCGATCGATCAGCTAAAGAAGTAAAAAGAATATATTCCGCCCACTTGAGCTTTCACGAATAGAAAACCAGGCTGCTAAGCATGACGCATGATGGCGAGTCCTGCGAGGCGGAATTTTCAATTTCCAACGGAGACGGGGCAAGCCGGGGAGATTTGGGGGGGGGGGGGGGAGGGTAAAGCTCATTCACTCCAACCTTTTCTGAAAAATAAAGAATTGCTAGGAGGAAAGTCTCTTTAGTTTCCCTGCTTCAAACCACTAGAGATCTCCCTTCCCCCTCCCCACAGGAAGAAGTGTTCCGCCATCCCTACACAATCTTAGGCCAAGGGTTCCGTTAGGATTTGACGGACTTTGATGGCTCGCAGAAAGTCGATCGGCAACTATCCACTATGTCATGTTTTTTATTATTATTATTATTTGGGGGGCGGGGGGGGGAGGTGAATTAATCAGAAAATACTCAGCCTCGAGTTCAAACATGACAACAACCAGGAGCCCTGCAACAACCGAATACTGAAATATCCACTACTCAACAACAAAATGGTACAGCTATGAACGAGCAGCGGTTTTCTTTTCTTCTGCCATTTTGTTTCCTTCGAAATTCTAAAGAGGAAGCCACACGGGCAGATTACAAAGAGCAGATATTTCCTAGGGAGCCTCTACGCGGAGCTAGCCGACACCTTTTCTCCAGTAAATGTAACATCAACCTACCTGTGCGGAATTCTCTGATATTGTCCTTATTCTCTCCCTCCTTTTCGCGAGGTTTTTGTTTCTAGTTCCACGCCACAAGAAGAAACCGATGGCCAGTGATAAAAACAAAGTAATTCCAACTGAGATACCTATCGCAGCAATGTCCACCCTTGAAAGTCCTTTCGACTTTCCTGAAAATAGAGATTTAATGAATTTGATTTATCATCATTCCCCCTATTCTAAGAAAATTATTCTTGATTACATATTATGATTCCAGGTTCTGAATTGTGGATTCCTTGTCAGTGGAGCTTGGCTTCCGGATTCCAGAGCCCAGGATTCCAAATTTTAGAAGCAAAAATTTCCCGTAATTCGGATTACCTTACATTGGAGGACGATCTGTAAGGACCTTTCTTGGATGGGCACTGGCTTAAAAAGGGTTCGTCAACCACGAGACACATGCCGAAAAAGTCGTAACAAGCAATTTCCACAATCTTTAACTAAAAAGTAGTGGCTAGGGAAATTTTAATTTTTAAGGCCGATTGATAGGCTCCTGCCAACGTCTAAAACGTTTGGCCTTTTCACAGCCATGCAACGGTTAACTCCATAATTGAGATCCTCTTCGTTATTGGTTTGTGCAAAAAGAGGGCAGATTTGCACCGTCCTGTGTGAATAATCGGAGAAGTTAACTCAAAAAAGAAATGTATTCTTTCCAATAAAATCTCAACCCAAACAAATCTTAAGTACATGTATATTTTCAGTTCAGACTCTAAAACAATGGCTACTGCATTTGTAAATTACACTTGTAAAAGTTTTATTAAATTGTCCCCAGGTTTAAAAGTACAATACCTGTTATTAGAAAAGCCTGCTTTGAGATGCCTTTTTCATTGGTTGCAATGCAAATATATTCCCCTCTTCTTTCATTACTGGTTACAGCAACAAACAGATGACTTTCCTCTAGGCTAGCGTTACTTCTTGACAAAATGGCTACGCCTTCATCTCTGTCTTTGACCTCTACTCCTTTTTTCTCCCATCGAATGACAGGTGGAGGATCCGCACGTGATGAGCACGTGATATGTGCTATGTCGTTATCTTCAGTATCTAGTGACGTTCCGTTATTTAGGATTTCAGGCACATCTACAGAGTAAAATATGTTTTGCAGTTCACAGGATTGTACGTTACAGTTTAGTAGTCTTTGAGGGTCTTTCGAGGTGTGTTAGGTTGAGAGAGCCACCCACCCCCCAGAATACACCATTCCCCTACATGCTATCCTGAGAAGACAACCGACATTTCTTGACCCCACCACTGGTCAGCGGTCCTGGTTTCTCCGCAAAGGTAGGTACGTGGTGTAAACATCCCACAAAATGACCCGGCCATCCGGCCATGGTTTAGGCTCGAACTGGCTGGAAGAGATATTGTGCCCAGCCATGGTTTCGAAGGGGAAACAACTGGTGTCGTCTCGAAATGTCGGCTGTTTTCTTAGGCTAACTGAATGGGAGATCTTCTAAACTCTTTGTTTTCAAATGTTTTACACCAGTCTGTGGATGACTGAAGTACGAAATCTCCTAAAAGCAGTATTTCAGTTCACCATCCTCGAAGATCCAGGGCAGAAACTTAATTTGGGAGGGCTAACGTACAACGAAAGGTTTTAATCACTAAGACTTTTGTCGCGCCGTTTCTACGTACCGACCCGACTGAGCAACTTCCCCTCGGGATATCCGAAGACGTACTTCTCACGTAGGCAGGTGATAAGCGTCAGTGTTCTGTTGTCGAAACCCAACTTGGCGATTCAGATCAATCCTCATTGACAGGACTTTTCCACGGTATTACTGTATTTGCTTGTTTGTCTCGATTATTTTAAAGTAAAGTATTAACTACTTTTGCAAGGGGAAGGGTTAAATCCATCGGTCCTATCCTCAGTGTGAATCTATCAATTTTCCTAAACTTCTATGGCATAATTTTACTCCTTCGATCTCAATGGTCTGTGCTTTTGCACCATGCTGTTGTTAATTCTTCATGCTGTAGCTATAGAAGCCACGTTGTGGTAGTCAAATCCGGAAGTTGCATGTTGGTGTTCAAACTCAGGTGTAAAAGTTTCCATTCGTGCAGCAGAAACACTGTTAATTTTGCAAGATTTTCACCGACCCCTGAATAACAGCTAACCTTTAATAAACTCGAATCGCGTTAATAATGTTTTCAAGTCTTCTATTAAGCAAAGTGAGCTCCCCTGCGATCATTTCTGAAAGCAGCTCGGTGTTTATAAAAATTTTATCCTCTTTCATCAACCAATACAATTGTGCGATCCAAGGAATCACCAATAATTTAACTTTATTTTTAGTTATTTTCGGAATTAATTAACGAATCAAGAAGTAGTTATGGTTGCCTTATCAACTAAAGAACAAGAGATCACTCTAGAGTGAAAGCGAGGAAGAGTTCTTTTTTACGTATTGAAAAAGCGTAAAGAGGACTTGTTAACTTGATAATTGGACTAAAATACGTTCATAGTAATGCGTAAAAGCATGTTTTTCAAACCTCATTTAAAAGAGGACATTATGCATAATTGACGTTCGCTCCCTAATCGTTTGTAACCATATTTGAAATATTTCGTTACACTTATTCAAAATGTTTTTGGTGATTACAAAAATATTTGAAAGCATGTTACTTCCTTCAAAAAACAATTGTACAATTCCCAAAATTAAAAGTAAACAATGCAAGAAATGTACTCTACTAAAAAGGACGAACAGCGAGGGGTGTTTGGAGAATAATCACGCATGTTGGCAACAAATTCACCTGTCATCACTAATCAGATCGCATCTAGCGAAAAAAAAATGTTAAATCGCTTAGGACAACTAGCGCTTTACTCTGAGAATTTTGCTTCTGCTAATGATCATGTTTTAAAGAATTTTTTTTTTCATTTAATAAGAATATTTACAAATCTGTAGATATTCCGATTTTTAGCAGGCGTTTTATGCAATGCCGTTAATATTTTCTTACTATGATAAAAATAAAATTTCAAAGGCTTTTGCTTATTTACAATAATTATTGTTTGTCATGTATTCCTGCTAGTATGTTTGCAGCTCTCGTACTACCCTGTGTGCATTGAGTGGTTTTTTTTGGCTAGCGGAGTATATAAAACCACATTGCACGTCTATTTATCACTGACCTGAAGGCGTCAGAAAGATGATTCTTAGCAATGTGGATTTAAAATACTTTAGGCTGTTCGGATCTGATCATTTCGTGATAAGATGAGTTCGATGTCAAGCTGGTAAAGGATACAATGAACAAAATAGTCACTTACCTTCTGCTATACTACATTTAGATTGAAGCAGCACGCCGACGAAGATGACCAGAAACACAGACATTTGCCTCTCGAATATCCTTTCGCCAGGAATAGAGTGTATATTTTACTCCGATACCAAATAACATGGGCTACTACGACAGTCAGTGCGTGTAAATTAGAAATCCTTGTGGTTTGAGTCAGTATGAACGTGTATGCCGGTGCTCCACGTGCTACAGACTTCAAACCGGCGATTTTTAAGCCAAAACGTCTTCCGCTCTGTTTTTCCTGTTTAAAAAGTAAGTTCCCTTAAACTCCAAAACGACTAAGAGAGCGTAATTGAACAACTTCCAATTATAAACACGCCAAACACAAACGAAGGATAGTTTAGCCTCTTCAGCGCGCAAAAATCCATCAAAAAATTTGCATGTGAATGAGTTTGAAAAAAATGCAAATGTCCCCAGTGGACTGAGACGCTTTTTGTTATAGATCTGTTACGTAAGCAAACAAGTGGACAAAAGGAGCCCGCGCGTATTTGTAATGTTCGTCTTTCACGATGTTTGCAAAGATGTCGTTGGAAATCATTCGTTGTTGCTGGTAACGAATTAAAAGAATGAAAAACTAACTATATTCTACACAAAAACTTTGCGTTTAATTTTTCTGAGTATATCATTCATGGACTTTTTTATTCTTGTGATCGGGCACGCTAGGATTGCATACGAGGGAAATGTCAAAGTCGCGCCGTTTACGGCGAACGACAAACGGAAAATAAGTTGGAAATTTCTCAAAATCAGGAAAATGAGCTGACAAAAACAGTCTAAAACAATTCTTATGGATGGAAATAACGTGAAACTACTTATTTTTTGTCGAAGTAAAGAACATTAAAGACAAGTAAAATTGGCACAAATTCACGTTTGCCATTTGCCTTAAATGTGACGCTCTAAAACTCTCTCATTTGAAAGTGAAGTCTACGCAACATATTTATTTATTTAGTAACCCTGACCAACACTAACTAAAACTGAATACACAATTAATATCAATCGATCAAAAATTAGTTATTTTAGAAAAATTTTTACCATGCCGGTGGATAACCTCAGTAACTCCCTCATGACTCTATCAAGTTTATCTAGCACTTAGCTTTACTTAGTAGGTTTGAATGTTTCTAAAAGTTGCTGGGGCTCGAGAGGGCTATAACAAGTCTATTGGGCTGTAAGTTTGACTTGGGCCTAATAATACACATTTTTACATCTATAGTTTTCTCCTTAAGAGCGAAACATTGGAGCACAACCCAGACCGTAATATCCTAAGGGGAGTAGAAGTTAGGTGACATCCGCTTGGAATTCGAAAAAGTTATAGGTTTCAATTTTTTACTGCCATCACTGATAAACCAAGAATAAAAAGACTGCATTTCTCTTTCCTTAAAAAAAATATCGTGTAGTGTCTCGATCTGCCTAGCAACTATAACTGCCATCGAGGCAAGAACACTACTGAGAGTTATAGTGACTAGCCGTTTGTTACTAGACGTAAGTTTGGTTCAATTCACGGGGGTGTTAGTCCTTCGAAATATCCCCGCGTTCCCTGGAGCGGTCTCAAAAGGGAGACCCTGCAAAAGAGAGGCCCTTAAGTTGCTTTTCAGACTACATTTCCCCAATAAACAGCATTAAATTAAGTCTGCGATGCAGACTGAGGGACTCTGAGCAGGGTTGAGAACTACGCAGTCTATAAGAGCCTTTTAAATTTGACTACCCTTGCTAACATCGTGGAGGTCAGTGGTATTGGGTGAATAGGTTGGCCTCACGGTTGCTAGAAATAAAATCTAGTCTTTTTATCAGCTATGTATTAACCAACGAAGGTGATGATTGACGGGCTGAAAGAAGTGTCAGTACCCCCTTACCCCACCATCGTTATACTCATTGATGTGTTTTGCACGTCTAGAAGGAGTGTAAAAGAGGTATAAAAGCAATAACAAGGTGTGACTTTGAAGCGCTATGTTTTATTTACACACTTTTCAAACAATAGGGAGTGACCTTTTTTAAGAGACACGAGTTGACACAGCTATCTAAAGTTTAGGATCAGAAGAATAAATGCTGGTTATAACTTCCCTAGCTACGCAAAATGGCTTTGTAAACAGAGAGGATTAGGATCACGTTTGCGGCAAACGGTGGAAGAAAAATTTAAGTCGACGATTTCTTAGGGACCAGTTTATATGGAGAAAAGTTGTCTCGGGTGGCAGGGTCACCCGCCTACCCGACCTACCCTGGGCGAGCCTTTTCATACATTTCCTTACAAAACGTGGCGAACTGTGTACATGTGTGATGATAAACGACTGAAAAGTTGGCTTGCTCGGCTAGAAGGCTCACCCGCCCCAGCCGACCCAACTTTTCTTCATAAGTTAACAAGAGTTAACATTTCGGATAAGGACGAAAAACCGTAGGTCCCGTCTCATAGCACTTACACTGATCTGTTCTTGTGGAACGTAAAAGAACCCACACCACTGTTCGAAAAAAGTACTGGACGTAGACCCCGGTGCTAGGGATAGCACCTCGCATGGGACCAGAGTCCCGTTCGTGCACATTCCCTCTGGGCAGGCCTGCGTCCACATAAAAAACAAGTCTGGGAGGGTGACCATTCTACTCAAGACAAGTTTTCGCCATATGAACGTGGCCTTAGTGACGTGTAGAAAATGAGCAAATAAAAACTGCATATGTTGAAACAGTGTTGCGGAATTGTTTTAACCCCGCTTCGCTGGTTCAAACAAATCAAGAGGACTGTATCTTTCGATGTAACAACACGATTTAATCCAATCCAACAATCTACTGCGATGTACAATTCTCACATATTCAACGGTCGTAACACAACGATCAACGATCAACTATCTCAACGATCAACGATCAACTAAAACATTCTAAGTATACAGTGGTTTTTCTACTATCCTTGCGTAAGGCAGTATTTTTACATTAATCACATGTCCAGTAAAAGTTCCCATTGTAATGTATCGAAATTAAGTGTCTATTACAAAATGGCACGTTCTTTCACCTTATTTAGCCTAAGAAAATGCATGCAGTTACATCATTTTATATCGTAAATATACTCGGACTTTGTTTACATCATTGTGAAATCTATTAAATGTCAGAAAATCTAACTTCTTTGCGCTACAAATGTCAGTTTCTAATTAATATTTAATCACAAAATAATAAAGTTAAGCATCACCTATTTCTTTCCCGACAAACAGGCTTGGAGCTACTTAGTTTGTGTATGTATAGATAAAATGAACAGTAAATGACAGATAAAGGAAAACGTGGTCATTTGGTGCAAATTGACGTTTGCCTCTTGCTGTATAGGTAGGCGATTTTAAATTCCTCCAATATCTTATTCTCCTACTTTCACGGTCACTGTGGTTTATAGCACAGTATTTTGTGTCTCCAGCTCGATACAAAACTGATTAAAAAGCCAGCGGGCAGATTACTGACTTAATTCAATTGTTTTCTGATAATTGCACACTCTGTAAGCGAGATGATCATTCGCAAAGATTACTTTGAGGAGGATATAGACAATACTTTTACTTTTCTAACTTTTGAGTTAGAGCTGTGAGGTATATCGTCAAACCATGTTTTCTAGAACGAGATGTTTCCTCATTGAGTATGCAAATCAACCTGAAGGATATTTGAAGTTTTTGTTCCAAGGCTAGTGCGCTTCAATCTAGTGGCACTGAGCTAGCTTGGTTTTGAGTTCGATCAGCCCAGAAAGAACAGCCTCTTCAAACCTATACGAGACGTTTTTCGGCCTGCTTTAATTTTTCCGTTCGAAAGAACTGCTGATTCTAGATCTGCACCGTAATTTTTAGGGAGTTATTATAACTCCAAAAATGAAGTAAAAATTTTAGGTACAGGGTAACCCCTTTTTGGGGGTTCAGGCTTTAACTCCTAATTTAACTCCGAAATGGGGTTATTTTTACTCCTTACATGGGTTGTTTTTACTCTTTTTGGAGTTAATTTAACGCTGAAAGTGGAGTAATAATTTTAGGTACCGGATAACTCCTTTTTTGGGGTTATTTTAACTACTCAATATCTGGGGTCACTTTTACTCCTGAAAAAGAGTTTTTTAAACTGCTTTTTGGAGTTAAAATAACTCCACTGTAAGGAGTTAAATTAGCCCCACTAGAGGAGTTATTATAACTCGTTGAAAATTACAGGGTATCTTAATTTTTTCTTCAATTTTTTGCAAAGATTTTTCCACCTCTTCGATTCGATTTAAGTTCATTTTTGTGACGGTGTTCTCGTGAGGCTTTAATGTGTGGCCTTGTTTTCCCTCAGTTATTAACCTGCTGTGGACGGTCTTTTTTTTGCATTTTTGAGATGCTAAACGATGAGGAAGAAGATGATGTCGAGGATGAATAATCAGATGAAAGATGTAGGAGGCAGTGTGGCCGAGAGGTTAGTTAAGAGCGCTGTCAGACTTGTAATTCGGAAGCCCAGAGTTCAAGTACCACCCTGACCGCTAGCTGGATTTGTTCTCGGTAGTCCCGAGTTCATGATCAGATCCTTGACCATGATTGTAAATAGCCAGCTGGTTTGCCTCCGGCCAGTTGGGATTCGTAACCCTGTCATGTTTGGGGATTATGTTTGAATTATTTGTTTCAGTCATTTGCCCGGCCCCACTTGCATAAGTGCTTTAAATACTGCTGAGGGTAAATAAAGGAATTGTTATTATTATTTATTATTATTATCATTATGAGTAATATGAAAATGATGATGTACTAGAGGAAATTGTCGACGAAAGTGATCAGGAAGAAGCAGGAGATACTGGCGAGAAAAGTGATACAGATGAAGATTACCACGAGGGTGACAGTGAAAGCGACGGTGGCAAAGATTACGCATGATATCAGCGTAAAAGACGTTTTACAAAATAGTGACATTTTATCTTTCCCTTCCAATCTCGAGCAATTAATAAATTGGCCCCTACGCAAAATTATGAAACAACGTTGTTCCCTTGGTTTTGTCAAAACGGAGACTGCCATATTAGTTGACATGTTTCGGAACCTAACAAATATCATAACCTTTATTTTTCCACCCCTAGAGTCTAGCTACTACCCTGTTGTTACACTGCTCTAGCCAGCAGCTTACTTATCTCTTAGATGGTCGTGATCCGATTCTGATGATTTTGCTTCATTTCTATTCTGAATTCGACAGAAAAAAAAAATGCATGTCAATTATTCCTTGCAAGGCTCTAAGGCTATAACACTTACAAATAAAAGATACTAATGCCTTTTCCAGTAACGATGGTCGATCGCGTTTTTTGGATCGAGTGGTACCTCAGACATTTCTTCACCTAAACGTACGAATCGTCGGACCCTAATTTTTTCCCACGAGTGATTCATTACTATTTTGCGCTTACGTTTTTTGGAGCGACTAAATACTAGAAGATAAACATT